CCCTCCCCCAGCCCTGCACAGAAGCCCCACCGCCCGCAGGGTCCGGACAGTGCCGCTGGGTCGGGAAGGCGGCGGGCGCTTTGGTGCTGTGCTCAGGGCAGAATATCCCCGTGCCCCCCTTGCCACCCCCGCGGAAGGTGCTCGTCAGTGGCTTTGCCGGCGCTGGGCTGAGCTGCTGAGCCTCCCGGGGGGCTGGGGAGGCTGGTGGAAAAGCTTTGTGCTTTGTGAAGTGGCCTCTCTTAGAGAGAGGAAGGGATCCCGTTGCCAGATGTAGAGGAATAAACTCTCATTTTACACTCGGTGTTGCAGTTGAGCTAACGCGAGGAGAGAACTTGGTTCCCTTATAAAAAATGCAGCTTTTTTTCTGCCAGCATATCCTTTCCCCAGGTGCCACTGAATTATCTGTTGGAGCTAGGCTGAGCTGAGGTAGCCTGTTCCTTCACGGCTCAGAGTGTCTGTCCTTCCACAGGGCGTTCATCGTGTGGCTGGCGAATGGCGAGACTCTTCGTGTCTATAAAATGACCAAGAAGGATGATGGCAGCTTCACCTTCACTGCGACTTCTGGGGACTTCCCGAAGAAGCACAAGGCTCCTGTCATTAACATAGGAATTGCAGAGACAGGTATGGAAACGAGCTGCTCGAGGTCAGCTTTGATTTCCTTGTAAAGCAAGGGCTGCTGGGTTAAAAGTGTTGGAGTTTTTGTCATTCTCAAGTCCCAGTTCTGCACCAGTACTTGATTCTCTGTAGTCTCTTAGGTGTTACTTTTCAGCCTTTGTTTACCGCAGAATGAATTGAAAGATGTCATTTTCAGACAGAGAAGATTCCTGTAACTGCAGAATTAGCTCCCCAATATGCACAGTCTCTTAACGTGCATTTTCAGGAATGCTGTTGCAAACAGGTCTCAGTATTAAGAGGATCTCTGTTCTCTGACCCACCAGTGTGTCTTAAACCAGTCAAAAAATCACGCTAGCAAGTTCATAAAGTCTATATTGGACTTCTGGGATCTTCTAGAACAGGGGCTGGGGGGGTATGTGTTAGTGGTGAGGGCCTGATGGATTAATGCATCAGATATGCGACAGCAGTCAGTTGGAAGTGGGTGGGTGCAAGTTCATCTCTGTAATAGGAGAGTGGAGAAAATGTTAGCTGAGACCTTTATGCAGCTGTGAAAGTGAAAACTTAAACCGGCAACAAGTAGCTGAAAGGTGAATGGGCAATTCCCTGTCCAGGCGGAGATGGAAAGGGGAAAGCATCGCAAGGGGAAACAAGCAGGAACCCAGAATGCTGACACAACCAGTAATCACAGATAGTTGTAGTGTGACTTGTAGACAGCTACCTGCCTGCAGTCGTGACTTGAAAGCTACAGGTACCTTGAGCTGTGTTTTAACCATCTGGGGAGATCAAGTCTGGTGCATGACTCCTGTGGTGCCAGCTTAGTGCTGAGCTCTGCAGGTGGGATCTGAGGGGCGCTGGGGTGAGCAGCACGTGGGGGATCAGAGTGGCCATCACCAGCGGACAGCTGCTGGAGCCAAGGGTGCACTAACACAGAACCAGGAGCTGAGTCTTCTGATGTTGCTTTTTGCTCTGTGCTGGGACGTTGACACTCCTTGGATTTTGGTGCTGCTTTTGGTTCTCTTGACTGTCCAGGTGCAAGGAGAGGTTGCCCTGCCAGGCCGGTGATAAGTCTGTGGCAGCATTGGGCTTGGGAGCTCTCCTCATCTTTGCCTTTTTCCCCCAGGAAAGTTTATCATGACAGCTTCCAGTGACACCACCATCCTGATATGGAGCCCGAAAGGTGAAGTCCTGGCCAGCATTAACACCAACCAGATGAACAATGCCTACGCCACAGTGTCACCCTGTGGGAGGTGAGGGGTGGGAGGTGGTCCAAGCTGCTCCTGCTGCAGAGCAGGAGTCTGCAGGAGTAAACAGGAACTTTGCTCTCTCAGTTCAGACCATGGGCAATTAGCTGTTATTTTAATGCCATTTTCTGAGGGGTCCACATTTTAAAAAGCAATTCCAGCCCCCAAGAGCAGCCCCTCCAGGAGTGCCGACTCTTGCCTGTGTAGTCTCAGACCCTCAGTAGGTTGCTGTTGTGCCTCGGCACTGCCATCTGTTAACCGTCTCCTGAGGAGCTGAGGAGAACAGCATTGGCCTCAGCGGATGTCGGACAAGGCAAACAGCATACTCAAGGCAAACAGTATTTCTGACTTGCCTTTAACCTTCTAAAGGTTAATTATAAAATTAAAATCTTTATTACTGAGAGATTGTTTATCAGGGAAATTGTGTTCTCTGCTCTGTCTCTTAAGTTGTTGCTCTGGGAAGCCTTGCAACTCCAAGCCCAGTAAGTTTGGTGATCAAAAGCACTTAGCCTTTTTATTTTGGCCCTGGAGTTGCTTGTGCCCAAGCTGTGGAGTTGCTCTTCTGGTCCTTGGTGGCCTTCCTTAGTGTTCCTTTACCAGCCTGGTTTCAGTGAAAAGTGAAAACTTTTTCAGCTGAGCACAGCAAAGATTTGCCTGTGGGTGTCCGGATAGTCTTGCCTTCCCACAGCCCTGCCTTGGGCTCACGAGGGCTGCCCCTGGCCCCTGCCCTGCTCAGGAGGCCAGAAGAGAGCTCTGTAGGGCTGGCCCCACGGCCGGATGAAGGAGGTGCTCTGTAACAGATACTCGGTGTCTTTCACTCAGGTTTGTGGCATCGTGTGGCTTTACCCCTGATGTAAAAGTGTGGGAGGTGTGTTTTGGCAAGAACGGAGACTTCCGGGAGGTGGCCAGGGCTTTTGAGTTGAAAGGCCACACCGCTGGCATACATTCCTTCTCCTTCTCTAACGACTCAAGGAGGTGAGTGTGTGTTATCTGCTGCCTGAGGCAGTGTGCTTTGGCTGGCCCTGGGGACGTGTGAGCTCACCCCTCCAGTGTACACCAGTAGCCTGTGCAGGGGGGCTGCACCCATGTGCCATGTCGGGGAACGCTGCCCTGCGTGCGCTCCTGGGAGCCCATGGTGGCAAAACCCTGACTGGCTTGTGCCACCTGCTTATTCCCCGTGGATTTCCTCCTGGGGGTGACTGTTCTCTGTGCTCTGGAATGAGGACAAGGACCGTATGTGTGTACAGACTCACGCCTTCCTAAAGAGCTCTCTGTCCACCAACGATTCTGGTTCACAGGCAGGCAGGGGGAGAGGGGCTGTCCGATTTCCTTGCACTCACCTCTGCTCTGTCTCCTGGCTGCAGGATGGCGACTGTTTCGAAGGACGGGACGTGGAAGTTCTGGGACACAGACGTGGAATATAAAAAGCAACAGGATCCATACCTGCTTCTGACAGGGCAGTGCAAGGTGGCAGAGCCTTGTCGCATCGCCCTGTCCCCCGATGCTCGCGTTGTTGCCATCTCGAGCGGCACAGACATTGTTGTGTACAACACGAGGAGAGGCGAGGAGGAGGAGCGCTTTCTGGCTGTGCACGGCCAGTGCATCACAGACTTGGCTTTTGACACCAGCAGCCGCCACCCGGGGTCGTGTGGG